GCTATATCTCATCTTTTCTATAAAAACTCGCATCATAATGACTATTTCAAGGCAATCTACACACGATGCTCGGTAACCAGCAGATATCAGTCAGAGTAACTGTATCAAGGGGTCCAATCGCTTGATTATTAGAGAATAGTCTCTTCTGTAATGTTTATTAGTCACTAAGTAGGTAAACATTAACAATCTGGAAGGCATTTGAAGCCATTTTTCCTGACATATAAGTTTATTCAAGTTAACACTATATTTTAGTCATCTGAACATTAATAATAATAATAATCCTAAATTCACATTCTATCATTTAAAACAAAGTATGTACTGTAAACCTGACTACCTTTTGAACTATTAATTTAGATATATTGTAGCGTGTGTTATTGATGTCGACAGATATAAGTAGTATGTTTCATTAATATAAAATGGAATGCCTGGTAGCAAAAGGTTGAGAAAATAGAAGAGAAGAGAACGAGAATATAGTGTTTGATATGATGACAAAGGGACAACAAAGTCTGAGACAATGGGTGGGTCACAATTGATCGATCACTGGGTGGTTGCGGCCCGGATAGCCCGGTAGTAACGCCTCTGACTGTGAAGCTCAGTGACATGGGATCGAATCCGTCAGGAAGCACCAGTCCCCTCAAGATTACAGGTACACCTTGATGACGAGTGCCAAGTAGCACTAAACCCGGGTTCAGGGTTTCCTGTCGACTACCTCCAACCACCATCTAACAATGGGTGGATATTTTGCAAATGAAGTATTTACTATATGGTTCTCAGATTTTACCAATATATTCTGTGAGGTTGGTTGTCCCTTCCTATGTTCACGTTCACTACAATCTAACTGTGGAAACTGAGAAAAACTTATGGAGAAGATTCTTTGAGCCAGTTTTCTTTATTTAGTTAAGAACCAAAAGGCTGATAAATAATCTAAGAAAAAATAATATTTATCTATAATTTACTTCATTCTATGTTAAAACTACTCATTCACACTATCGGTTTTATGATAAGCTAAAAGCTTGGCTAGAAATTATCTTAAGGTTATTTGATCGCTCATACAAGTTCGTCTGTATCATCAACATGAATCTCGCAAGGAGGGATCGTGGACGCGCACTGCTGAGGAGTCCCACAGTAGGACGAAACGACTGTCCAGTGCTTCCAGGTTTTTCATAGTGGTCTAGCTTCAATTGCGTCATGAATTCAACTATCATATCAATATTATATCCACAAGACCCCTCTCTGATGAATCAAAACCTTCGTTGACTTGAGAAAGACATCAAAACACAAAAGTGGCTTTCTGAATTTCATCATCGAAGTACTCTACTGCATGTGTTGAGAACAAAAACAAAGAATGGAATTACTGTAAAGCTGGTCTGTAAGTGCAAACTTGAGTGACTATTTAAATTAATTCGTCAAGCTCTTGACTATATTGTAGAAATCAGAAAGTAGTAGTTATAAATGGATGATCTATAATGTTAGGGCTATCATAAATTCTATTCTTAATGTTCAATCGATAAGTAACCAAGGAAGCAAGCAAATAAGTAAGTAAGCTAAGAATGGCCAAGTAAAAATGGGATATCAGTTCATGAAGCCATTGATTGTTAATCTGAACAGTGTTTAGTGATGCAGACTGTTTGAAGTCCTAGTAACAACCTCTATCAGTGTTTAAAGAAATTGGTTTCGATGGCTCAAAATCATTTACAATGGTTCAGGTGCATTCACTCTTTGTTTTACTTTAAATATTTAGTTCCAGTGCCTCTTCATTTAAATCTTTTCATTCTGTCTTTTCGAAATAAATACCAAATATTTAGTCCTTCCCATTATCATTTCTACTACAGTATATCGATTCCTTTGTTATTCATCCAGTTAATTACATTTCATTACGCTAGTGTAGTACGGTAGCTTCGGCTAGCGCACATATATTCTTGGTTCTATATTGATTATGACTGAATGATGGTTGAAATATATCATATCCCGAGCTCCCAATTTTGGGGAAAGTCCCAAAGTCAAATGACCTTGACCAAGGTTAAAGGAGGATTTTGGGGAAATATTGGGAAATTTCTCCAGGTCTGGGGAAATTTTGGGATTTTTGTACCATTTCCCCAAAATTTCCGCAAAGTTTACTATAGAGGCCTCTCAAAAATGGGTCAAATTTTCCCCAAAAAATTTGGAGCTCGGGATGCTTTTTGGTAGATATGAACAGTGTTGTTACTTGACGACTGATTTATACATTAAATGATTTCAAAAGGTAGAATAACTATTCAGTGAAAATGGGTTACTTTCGTCTATCCTAATAACACTTTTATATAAGGAATATATCGAATAAAGTTGATCAGGATTCTATAATTAACGAAACTTTCTGTGCGTGAACTATGAGATAAATTGCTAATCACTCGTTATATTTCAGATTTGAAGGGTAATTTCGTAAGACAAATGAACTCGATGGTACAGCCATCAACACACATACACATACACAATGCTTCGACAAACTGTCAGCAGAACCGTACTATAGTGACAACCTTGACAGATTTATCAACCAATTAAAAAAATTGTATTTGGTTACGAAAAATTTAGATAAAACAGACAATATCATTTCAATTAATGAATATAAAGCAGGTTTGCGGTAAGAAATTAGAATTTCGGATAGAGTCAGGAATGAAAGTTCGGAGGGTTACAGTTAAGAAGTGAGGCTTAAGTTTTCATCGCGAATTGACATCAGCTATAATCGTAGTAGAACTGTGTTAGGATTAGGGAATAGAATTACAATGACTAGGCTTTGGAGCTGAGATTAGAGTTCAGGTATGTATTTTAGCCATACTAGTATCCTTGACTATATCTCAAATTACATCATTTACAGTCAACATGTAATAAAAAGCATTGAGCACTGCTGAGGAGTCCCATAATAGGACGAAACGACCTTCCAGTGCTTCCAGGTTTTCCATGGTGGTCTAGCTTCAACTGACTCATGATCCTAATCATTGAAATTACTACAATCTCCACAAAACCCCTCCTGACAACAATATATATATTCAAATATTCACTTTGATTTAATGAACATATAAACTATCTTTTGCTGTGTTTGGAATTTTTCACCAAATCCTTCAACTTCTATCCTACGTATAGTTGCTTACCTAAAGATCATCGCTGTAATGTAGTTTTACTGGAGTATCTTTCACTTAAACTGTCAGTTTCAGTTACTATCAAAGGAGATGATTAGTCATTTTTACCGTACTTTGCTATTGTTGTACTACGGAATCTCATGTAATAAGTCTTTGTTGAATTAAGAATTTATGTAAATGTCGATAATCTTGCTGGATCAGTAGTTCAATCGATAACTCTCTAGAGTTGTAAAGCAACGGTTACTGAATTCAAGTCACCCAATGAAAACGTCCATACGTATGGTAACTACGTCCGGCTGAAAAATTTCAAGTAGGGCGAGACTACTTGTCTTGGATTCCACTTATAGTCACTGTCTAAAATGTTATATCTTGAGACGCTAATCTATATCACGTATTAAAGTTAATAATCACTATTCCGATTATCGTTTGGTTCAACTATATTGCCGGCAAGACCGGTGATCTTTTAAGCACCCGAAGATACACCAACCATCAAATAACAACTAAGACCTTAAGGCTTATTGGTCCTAAAGCGCCTTATAACTCAATAGCCAAATTGAAGACGAAGGCAGAACGCAAACTAGTTCTCTACCGAACTCAATTCAATTATAACTCAAAACCCATACAAAAATATGCCTGAAATGAGATCATGAGCTAATCAATATTAGACTACCACTGAAAATCTGGAAGTACTGGATAGCAGCGTTTCATCCTGGGTTCAAGTCTCATGTGGGGATTGTGGGTGCGCATTGCTAAGGAATCTCATATTAGGTTTTCAATGACAGTGCACTATTGATCGGTTTATGATATCAATTAAAACTCAACATTTTCCACAACCCTATAGTGACACTTGAAACACTTGAGTTCACACCCAATCAAATAAGAAACCTTACATTATACACAATCATCCCATAAATGATAGAAGGATGAACAACCAGTACACAATTTGTTAACAATAACGAAAAGATAGTAAAGCGGATAAGAGTGGCTAATAAGTTCACAAGAAGCTTACAATAAGAAGAATATAATAGTGTAATCAGAAAAAAAACAGAGCCAAAAGTTCATTCAAAAAGCGTATATCATAAGACAGACTTTTTATTGACCATCGTACACCATTGTCTTCAGTGAGTTGATACCTCACGACAGACCTGATTGAACTCCATTGGTAACTGCTTCTCACTAGAACTTCAGAAAATGCCACTTGAAATCAGTCACTAGTAAGCAGGTGATTATTATCAGAAGGCCGTTTCGTCCTAATATGGGACTCTTCAGCAGTGCGCATCCACGGTCCCAGCACCCACGGGATTCAAACCCAGGACCTATCGGTCTCGCGCGCGAGCGCTTAACCATGAGATCATACACACCACTTGTAAACCTGTCATCACACTATCAGTTTGCACGTATCATCTGCTCACTAGTGACTGACTTCAAGACCTATTTTCTGGAGTTCTAGTGAGAGGCCTTGACCAGTGGAGTTCAACCAAGTCTGTTGTGAGATATCAGCTCGCTGAAGACAATGGTGTACGGTGACGCGATTTCGTAGATTGTTTGAAGTTAGATATTAGCACTGTTGGATACCGGCTGGCTCAGTGGAATCATGATTAAGCGCTCGCGTGCAAGTCTGATAGGCCCTGGGTTTGAATCTCACGTGGCGGGATCGTGGATGCGCACTTTTGAGGAGTCCCACGGTTGGACGAAACGGCCGTCCACTGCTTCCAGGTTTTCCCTGATGGTCTAGTTTCAATTGATTCATGATTTCAACCAGTGAAACATCTGTTTTTACTATAAAAAAAATCATTCTTACACATTATATATTGACCAATCTTCAACACCAACCACTTCATAATTCATATATGATCTTTATTTGTTTGTTTTTTTTCCAATTTCTAGAATGCTTAATGGACCAACTGTCCTATTAAAAAATAGTACAACATCATTATGTAATCCAGTAATCAATAATTTATCATCAAGATCCTCATCATCATCATTAACATTAACAAAGAATAATAATAATCATCATCATCCTAATGATGATCATGATCAAATTAAATCTGATCTATCTCAATCATCATGTTTACCAACTACATTATTTCCTAATTATTCAATACATTCAATTCCTAATCATCCTATATATACTACTACTACCACTACTACTACTACTACTAATACTACTACTACTACTACTACTACTACTACTACTACTACTACTAATATCAATTCATCATCTATTATCTATGATAATACTATATTGAATTATGATAATCAATTATCGGATTCATTAAATGATACTAATAATGCATTAATAATGAATCAAAGTATCAATTATAAAACTAAATCATTTGAACAATTAACATCAACTATAATGATAAAGAATGATGATATTATAACGATTAGACAAAGATTACCACCATTAGGTAAAAGTGATAGTAGTGAAACAGGTCTACAAATCAATAATAATAATAATAATAATAATAATATTGATAATGATAATGAAACTAATAATAGTCTTGTTACTATGACAACTAAAATTGTAATTGAAGCTGATTCTAATGATAAGAATAATAGTAATGACAATATTAGTAAATATAAAACTATTGAAGAAGGTTATATAAGTAATGAAGAAATAGTTAGTGGAAAAATGTTACAAAATCAATCAGATTCAATAAATATTGAATATAAGTAAGTGAATTGTTGTTTTTAAATGATGTGGAGATTATTGAACTTTATTAAGATCATTAAGTTAGACAATCATTAAAAATATGAGAGCAATGAGCAGGTATTTTCCTTGAATGGGACTATTTAACTGTATAGATCTATCGTTCCACCATAGGGAATCAAACTTGTGACTTAAGGTTTTGAACTGGAATTTTAGACTATTGAACTGGGATTCAGTGGTGAACCAATATAACATTTGTTGCTTAGGAGTACTTTTTTAGTTTTGTCACATTTATAAACTTTAGACTTTTTTATAAATAAGTACAAGCTATGTGGTATGTGCTACTTATATTGACTTAAGTAGTATATGACGTTAGTCAGGTACAGAATGTCTGGCAGCATCGGAACAATAGGATTGAACAGTAAAGAATGGAAACAGAATGTAATTTGTATGAAAATGCAAGAACAATAAAGTCTGAGTCATTCTGAGATAACTGATGGACATTTTGCAAATTAAGCATTTACTATATGATTGTTAAATTTTATTAACAAGTCCTGTAACGTTGTGTCAAATACATTCGATTGTCCCTATCCATGTTCTGTTCACTATATTTGGTGTCGGTACCAGCTACAGCTACACTTCACCTTCTACTGAATTTCACGTAAATATTCAATAACCGATATCTTAAATTTGATTTGATCGTCACTACAATATATTTCCACCAAATTAGGCGATTCATGTTAACATGTTATGGATTATATTTAAATCTGAAGGTGGTAGAAGGTACTCGACAGGAAACTCTACACCACATCTATGTCATATCAGTTGGGAATCATCAATAAAGTGCACATGTAATCTGTAGAATTCAAACCCTGATTACTCCATTTCACAGTGTGAATCGTTACTCCTGAGTTATTCATAAATTGACTGATTTCCCATAGAATTGAATCTTTTACATCTGTTAAGTACCGAATATTGACCAGTGTCATTTTTGTCTAGTCTGTTAGTGTTAATAGAATCCTATGGATCAACTTACAAATAAGTGTTCATTGTAGTCAATCAGTAACCATAGTAACTAATTTCATGGCTAAATAGAACATAGGTGATAATCCATTTGAAATATATATACCATAGATTTCTTGTACATTTCGTTCATTTCATTTTTTACATCTCCATGCATATATAAGAGCTAATAGGCTCAATTCATTAGAAATATTACTATACTCGAAAATGTTTTGATTGAGATCATGAATCGATGAGTGCTAGATCACTATTAAAATTTGAAAGCATTAGACGGCCGTTTCATCCAAGTATTCGACTCCTCATTAGTAAGCATCCACAATCCCGAACGCGACATCTGAACCCAGGATTTTCGGTTTCGCATGTTAACACTTAAACTTTAAGCCATTGAACCGGCATCCAACATTGTTAATATCTAATTTGAGCCGATCTACAAAATTGCACGATCATTGTCTGTCTCTACCTGACACGGATTAGCTCCACTCGGAAATTTGTTGGTTTATTAGAGAACATAAAAATACTCTTTATTTCTTTAAAAACTACCTATAAATACTGATTTTTATGTCAATGCAGTTCTAGAAGGTAGTCAATGAAATTTGATATATATTTATACAGTAAAGATGAATAGTGGCCAGCAGTGGATCCAGTTTGACACGCGTTTCCTCCTATTCGGGACTCGTTAGCTGGATGTACCTGCATCCTTGCAGAGTTGATATTCACTCTGAGACTCAAACCTAGTACCATTCGCTTCAAACGCCAACGCGTTATCCACTCAGTTAATAACAGACTGATCAATTGCAGTCTTAAAAACCTCAATGGGAAGATACAAGCAAAACAATACCAAGTGATATTTATACAATGTTTTATATAAAACCTACAGGTAACAAAAATGTTAAATCATTATAGACAAAAATGGATAATCACTAGTAGCGAAATTCAGGACACACGTTTCGTCTTATTTAGGACTCGTCAGCTGAGTGTTTATGTTCATTCCGCGACTCGAACCCTGTACCATTCAATAAAGAGATTTAAACAAACAATACAAAATATATATATATATATATATCAGATCATTTTTAATTGTGTTTTTTTTCTTTTAGTAAACTAACAAAATCAACTTTCCCAATCTCATCATATTCTAGTCTACATAATATTGATAATGATCAAAATATGTGCCGTTATTGTCATAATCGATTACCAAGTTGTACACATCAATTAAATTTACTACAACCTACCACTATCAATACTACTTTTAATAATAATCATAATAATAATCATAATAATATTAGTAGTATAATGGGTAATCGACAAAAATCCACATCAGCTATACCATTATGTTCAACTTATGAAATTAGACCAAATACAACAGGGAAATTAACAGAGTATAAACATGAATCATATAATCCTTTATCTAATAATGATCATTTATATTTTTACAATAATATTCATCATTATAATAATATAGATAATAGTAAATTATTATTACCAGTAAATTTCTGTCATGATAATTTACATATTATAACACCAAATCAATGTTCAATTAATTATATAACAAATGTTCAATATTCATCATCACATCATGTATATCATGAATTAAATCAATCAAATCTTCCATATACTACTTTAATCCCTACCCCAACCACAACCACCACTACCACCACCACCACCACCACCATCTCGACCATCACCACCACCACCACCACCACAACCACTGCTACTATTACTACTACTACTACTACTACTATTACCACTAATAATAATAATAATAATAATAATGATATAAGTAATATGAATGAAAATAATCATGTACAAAACTTAACTTATCTCCATAATAAAACATTGAATACTTCAAATCATTTAAATACATATTATGATAGAAGAAATTTCACAGGGGAAACACTTTTGTTACATAGTGACAATAATATTGATAATAATAATAATAATAATAATCATACAAAATCTTTTATAAAACCGGATCGATCTCATTCCGAGTCCATAAGTGGATCATTTCAACGCATATCATTATATTTTACAAATGATACACATAATAATAATAATGATAATAACAAACATAGAGATCATTTAATATTGAATAGAGAGAAACCACAACAATTTAAATCAGTTATTCGTAATAGTATACCAAATTATTCTATATTACGTGGTACATTAAAAAATTATATTACTGAAGCAACCTATAAATCAAATAGTAATCGTAATATAAAAACAATACATCATCAACATACAATAAGTGTACCAATTGATTCAACAAATACATGTCAAACATCATTAATACCAATCAATAATAATAATAATAATAATAATAGTAACAACAATACCAACACCAACAACAATAACGATAACAACAACAACAATAATAATAATAATAACAACAACAATAACCATAGCAACAATAATAAAAATACAAAAAATACAAATGAACATTATAATAAATTAATTAATGATAAACATAATGATGAAATAATTATTGATAATAATGAATTATCAACAATAAGACATAGTTTAAATTCAACAAATAATACAAATCAAATAATACAAGATCCAAGATCAAGAACATGTTGTTTTTGTTGGTGTTGTTGTTGTTCATGTTCATGGTAAGTAAAATAATAATCAATAATCAATAATATTGATTTGATTAAGATTTAGTTTTATTGCTCAGCCTTACCAGGGTATTTAGGGGGTCTATTTCATAATTTGAAAGGTATATATATATATATATATATATATATATATATATATATATATATATATATAATATATATATATATATATATATATATATATATATATATATATATAACGTAATGATACCGCCACTTTAAGGACAATGATTTTTCGAATGAATTAATGATTCATAAACTAAAACAATGATACAAATCTATAAAGTCATTGACAAGTGTAATAAGCCATGTTAATAGATGTAAACTACCTGGTTAGGATTTAGGAGATGATAGAAACTGATGGTTAGAGACCTTGAATGTGACATGGTTGAAAATTGTTTGCAATGGTGTGCGCAGTTGCATTCACTCTTTGTGTTCTCCTAAATTCTAATCTTATGAATTCTTCTTGTCCATTTTTTTCTTTTTCTAAATTTGTTTCAGTGGACTATACTTCTTAAATAACATCTTCAAACCCTAATCTTTCCGATTAATGCTTATACTTTTACTATATCTACCACTAAGGGATTTGAATAGACAATTACATATCTGTGCTAATATTGTATGGCAACTCGAACTGATGTATGTACGTAGGAAGTTCTACGTTGTTACTGACTGACTGACTGGTATAAATCCGTACAAGCAGTCTAGAGTCTTTATCGGTCCTTCTTCCTATCTATCCCTGCTTCTGCAATATGAATCATGTATTTCAAACATACTCAGTTTATATACGAACCAAACAGATCATATCGTACGATAAAGTGGAAAATAACATTTCTACATGATTTAGCCGGAAATGGCTGTGAATGTGGGAGATAGTAATTGATAGATAGGGCATAACTCGGGAATGGTAAATCGTATAATAATAGTTCATAAGTCAAAATAAAGCTTGTAAGAAGACGAACACGAATATGAATACTTCACTTACTTAATTATTATATAATAAAAACATATGTATAGTATTAGTCCATAAATAGGTCACAACAGTTACCATTCATTAATCACATCGAGATATAACACTATTGAATGGAATGATTAGGTTGATTATATTTTCAAAATAAAACCAACTTAAAAATGAACCAAGATAAAAACAAGATTGGAATGTATGTTAACTGTAAAATCCACTAGTCGATCTAAGTTAAGCCATCATTGAGAATATGAAGGCACTAGACAGCTATTTCGTCCTAGTATAAGACTCCTCAGTAGTGCTTAGTCATAATCACGGTACTTGGGACGTCCAGTGATTCCAGGTTTTTAATAATCACCTAGCTTAAATTGACTTATGAATTCAACTGTTAAAATATTACAATCACCACAAATCCCCATACTGACTTGAATATATGTTATAGTTTATAGTATGAGATATCAAATTAGTGTACATTGATGATGCTTTCAAGGAATGGAACGTGGATGTTTAAATAGTTTAGAGAGAAACAACAAGACAAAATTATATTTGTTAGTTGAAATTTAATGATTTAGATGTGTGACTACAATCAGGTTACAAAATTTATTTACCATCTTTAATGTTAAGCGGTTGGAGAGAGTCGACAGGAAATCCTGCTTGATATAGGTTTCGTGTTATTTGGAACTCTTCAGTAAGGTATACCTGTAATGTTCTAGGTTTAATTGTTCCTTGGTGGATTTAAACCCTGATCATTGAGCTTTATAATCTGAGGCATTACCAAACAACTGACTTCTTGTATTGTGGTGTATGCTCCTTATGTCGACCGACATAAGCAGTATATAACATCAGTCAGAAGTGGAGTGTATAGTGGTAGAAGGCTAAAGAGATGGAGTTGAACAAAACAGAAATAGAGATAGAAAGAAAATGTGAATTGAAAGAATTATACAGAGTGTGAGAGACAGTTGATGGGAGATCTGCAAATGAAGTATTTCATGTATGGTTCTCATATTTTACGAAGATATTCTGTACTTTTGTACTAATTAATAAATTGTTTGGCCTCATCTGAGTCTCGTTCAGTACAATATGGCTGATGTATTTACATTGGTAAATTATTGAGTAATGCCTAATGTTATACGTATCTAAACCTTAATGCCTGTCTATTTCTGTCGATCATGTTGGTATATGTCAATCATCAACCTTAATGACTCAATATTATATGTGCTATACAACCCACCATCATAATGGTGATACTAAGATCACAGTTTGATTAACATTTAATGATCAGAAGGGGTTTCGTGGAGATGTTTAGTCATTTCAATAGTTGAAATCATGAGTCAATTGAAGCTAGACCACCATGGAAAATCTGGAAGTACTGGACGGCCGTTTCGTCCTAATTTAATTGTGAAACTGTGACTGATAAACTTCAACCATATCGAATCACATTATACGAGCATGGAGTAATGTCATGAACTGACTGAAGAATTAGATTTGGTCTAAATGATCCAACTAACACTAAACGTTATTATAAGAACTAAATATCACGTTGTTGTGTTTTATTTATGTGATCTTGATTGTGAAAATTTTATTGAAATATTTTCCACTGAAATGATTCACAGCTATACAGTACTCGCTCATAGTCAGTGTCTTCGAGATCGACATTAGACCGTCATTAAACACACTGTTAAACTAAAAAACAAAATCCCAAAAAATATCCTCATCTTCAACAGCAATAATAAGAATTGATTGGCCCCTAAATGCCCTGGTACGGCCGAGAATGGGGAAGGTCAGCTCTCCCTCCACAAATGCTCTCACATGGCAACTGGATGAGAACTCCTACTCATTGCCTTCTCGATACAGGGGTGTTTTTTTCAAATTGAGAGGACGAAGAGTGAATATCCGGCGCTTTATTCGGGTTGGTGGACACGAAGAGTTCACCTAAGGGAGTTGGAAAATACTGATTTCAAACCAATGGTGAATATGGGCTCCAGGATCTTCAAGGAACAAATGATGTATGAACTAATTATTAGTCACCGGCTACCATAGGACTGCATCTCCATAAGTTGCTCCACTGCGTTGTGGAATAGACTTTTAAGTCAAAGGCTCAAGGTGTGGCCTCCTAAGAAAACCACCTACTTCGGTTTGTGCACTCGGGCGGTATCCCAGCCCTCACACAAATCGAATGATTTATGTGACGCATACCTGTTTGGTGTCTTATTGTACCAATTTTTATGTGTTTAAATAATAATAATTCGTGATTATTGAGCGGCCAACAACCATTGTCATTAATGAAATTTGTAAAATCGCATAATCTGATAATCTTCACATTTACTTCTTTACTAAAATTTGATGGTAGTTTGAGGTAGTCGACAGGAAACCATGGATCCGGGTTTCGTGCTACTTGGCACTCGTCAAGCAGGATGTACCTGTAATCTTGAGGGAACTGGTACTCCCTGACGGATTCGACCCCGTGTCACCCAACTTCATTGCAACATGGTCGGTATCATTCCATCTGCACCAATAAGGACTTGACACACATGACATTGATCACCACCCAGTGATTAATCAATTATGATTACTAAATTTCATCTTATACTTGTTAGTGAATAACTTTAAGTGGTGACTTTCCGAGTCTTTATAAAGAGCTTTCACTGATAGATTTCAACTATATCTCTCAGTGAGTTAGAGTTATATACCACTGGACATTAATCTGATAATCTAAAGGTTAAATGCTTTACTCAATAAATGAAACTCCTAGGTTCGACTCTCTATAAGTTCATTAATATACAACCCCAAGAAGTTCTATTGTAGGACAAAACAGCTGTATTCAGTTTTTCCTAGTTTCTAACGATTACCTGACTAAAATTAAAAAAAAAAACAACTTAGGAATTCAAATTTCCCTTATAGTAACAAAGATAATTAGTTACCGTTTGGAAACACACACATAAATTAATATATCTTGAATGTAATTGGAATCAATAAAAGTTTCTAAATCAAATATGACAATGATGATATGTAATATTATGCACATTACTTACTTACTTACGCCTGTTACTCCCAATGGAGCATAGGCCGCCGACCAGTATTCTACAACCCACTCTGTTCTGGGCCTTCTTTTCTAGTTCCATCCAATTCTTGTTCATTTTTCTCATATCTATCTCCATTTCCCGGCGTAATGTATTCTTTGGTCTTCCTCTCCTCCTTCGACCTTGAGGATTCCATATGAGGGCTTGTCTTGTGACGGAGTTGGGTGTTTTCCTCAATGTGTGTCCTATCCACTTCCAGCGCTTCTTCCTGATTTCTTCCTCCACTGGAATCTGATTTGTTCTCTCCCACAGTAGGTTGTTGCTTATAGTGTCCGGTCAGCGGATCTGAAATATTTTGCGTAGACAACTGTTAATAAACACCTGTATCTTTTGGACGATGGATTTCGTAGTTCTCCAGGTTTCCGCCCCATACAGTAGAACTGTCTTCACATTTGTATTGAAAATTCTGACTTTGGTGTTGGTTGCTAATTGTTTTGAGTTCCAGATATTCTTCAGTTGTAAATATGCTGCTCTTGCTTTGCCAATCCGTGCCTTCACATCTGCATCAGATCCACCGTGTTCATCGATGATACTGCCCAAATATGTAAAGGTTTTTACATCTTCCAAAGCTTCTCCATCAATTGTGATTGGATTGGTACATGCTGTGTTGTATCGAAGAATCTTGCTTTACCCTTTGTGTATGTTGAGACCTATTGCTGCTGAGGCTGCAGCTACACTGGTTGTCTTCTCCTGCATTTGTTGTTGTGTATGCGATAGAAGAGCCAGATCATCTGCGAAGTCTAGATCATCCAATCGCATCCTAGCTATCCACTGTATCCCGTGCTTCCCTTCAGATGTTGATGTCTTCATGATCCAGTCGATCACCAGGAGAAAGAGAAAGGGTGACAGTAAACAACCTTGCCTGACACCGGTCTTTACTTCGAACGACTTTGTCAACTGTCCTCCATGCACGATTTTGCAGTTTAATCCATCATAGGAATTCTGTATGA